AATAACTGTGCTCATATATTTTTTAGATTTTTGGCTACAGTATGAACTATTTATGAGAATCTTTTTTTTAAATTTTCAATCCTTAGCTATAAAAACTGAACATTTTATAATTTATTAATTACGATGATTGATAATTTTCGAGATTTTGATAAATTTTGTCAAAATGCGATCTTTAAATGCTTATAAAAAAAAATTGTGCCTATGTATTTTTAATATTTTTCAATTAATATTGTAACAATATATCAGGAGCCTTGTATTAATTTTTCACACTTTTTGGCCCAACAGATAAAACTTTATTAATATTTATAGAAAAAAAAAACTAAAAAAATTGAAAACTGAAAATGTCCGTAAACGGCTCAAAAAGAGTCAAAATATTTTCAAAATTGTATGGTGTATAGGAAATGCTAATATAAACATTCAGTGAAATTTTCATGTATCTACAGTAATTCGTTTTTGAATTACAACAAAATAAGGAAATCGCCACATGAGAAATCGAGTGAATATCCAATGTTGTAAAAATTTGAATTTCAAACGCTCATAAAAATTTAATTTGACTTTCTTATAGAATTTTTTTTTTGATAAATGTAGGAAATCTTATTAGTAATCTTATATTAGATTTTCAAATCTTAGATTTAAAAAGAAAAATTTTTACGAATTCTTAACTCAAAATAATTTGCTAATTTTCGTGATTTTTCCATATTTTGTCAATTTTTCAACTTTAAATGCTTATAAAAAAAAAACTGTGACTAACGATTTTTAATATTCTTCATCTTCCTTTGAAACAATATGCTAGGAGCCTTCTATTAAATTTTCAAGTTTTTTTAACCAACAAATAACATTTTATTGATATTTCTAGAAAAAAATATGAAAAATGAAAATGTCCCTAAACAGTTCAAAATAAATCAAAATATTTTGAAAATGTTATCGTGTATAGAAAATGCAAATATAAACAACCAGTGAAAATTTCATGTATATACGTTCATTTCTTTTAGAGTTACACCAAAAACCAAAATCGATTTTTTGGAAAACCGATTTTGCGTAAAAATTCCCGTTTTTCCGTAATTTTGCTTTTGTTTTTCCCGGCGCTTTTGAAAACTACTGGGAAATTTAACCTCCCCAATGCACCAACGATATTCACTTTCCAATCGAACAAGATACTGAAGTCGAAAATCGAAGCATTATTTCGACTACTTATCGTGTACACAGACACAAAAAAAAAAAATAAAAAAAAAAAAAAAAAACACACATCATTGTAAAATCAATACATTCATCGTTTCTCTCTGAATCTAAAATATAATACTAATTAGATTGTTAATTAATTATATTTTACATAGGTACAGATTTTACAGTATTGTAAAACTACGTACAAATAATTACTAGGTTAGGTCATAATTTTAGGTGACGATCGAATTATACTTCAAGCCGTACCTAGGTATATTTTAATTAAATAAGAAGGCGTTAAAAATATAATTAAGACTATACTATACATTATTTGTTTATCATGTATTACAACTTAAAATTTGATACATTTGTAATAATGTATTTTATTTTATATGCGTTTTTGTTATAGGAACTTCCTATTATAACATAAATGTTTCGAGCATATTATAAATTATTTTTAAGATATCAATTTGAAACTTAACTGCTTATCATTTTATATTTTAATAAATTGACGCCCAACAAATATATCTTAATTAGATCAATGTAAATCATTAATAACGTTTCTTTATTTTTAATCATTTTTATAGCTGGTCGTTAAAGAACAAAACCTATCGTATCTTGGAATCTACGATCTCGACTTATTTTACCCATTTTTGACATTAGTTTAAGTGCCAACCCTCTATAAATCACTAAAAAAAAAGTAAAAATACTATAAGTCGATATAATAGCACTTATATAATAAATAAGAAGATTCTGCCAATTTTTTATATGAGACAATTATTATGTCTTTCTATAACAATAATACTTATTACTTCCCATCGATTTAGATATTATAATTTGATCCCGGTAAAAAAAAATAATTAATTAAATTACTAAGTTTAAACTTCATCTCAATCACCGGACTTCCATGGGTGTGAACAAATAAACTTACATCGATGCAAAGACGTGATTACACTTTTACAGCGGCGGTGGGTGACAGTGCATCAGATACAGGGAATGCCGGATGTTTAGCATCAGCGGCAATCAAACCGGAAATATTTCGCTTTTAATAATATAATATAAATCGTTAGTGAAATTCTTCACTTTTATTGAGGTCACATTTTTATTTATTATTATTTTTTTACATAAAAGAAAACAAAAACTTCTCGAACCAAATGGAAGGGAACAGTGTAAACCCCTCGCCAACGACAACCCCACCACGCGCTATTCACGAAATCATAAAAAATTACCAGTACATAAATAACTCAATTTGTACATCATGCATTAACTTGTATACGATTCGATGGTACCAAGGAGTCTTGTTCTCTTATTTTTACGATGGTGGATATTATTCTCATCGTAACATTATACAGTAGTTTTTTTTGTCCTCGTATGTGAGCTTTCTGCACCCTCTATTTTATTCGATTCTCTCTAGTTTCTCTCAGTTTTCTTCAATCTAGACCCTCCCTCACCCATCCACTATTCCCATCACCCTCTCCCCCTCCCACAGCTACTCAACCACCGACCATAGAAAATCTTCCTTCCGCCCAGACCTTATCAACTCGCAACAGCCTTTCAGTTCCGGTGCAACTGCTAGTCCTTCCACACAGAGCCCGCCTCACCGTAAGCTGGACATAAAAATGCCGATTTTATTATATACCCTCCAAACTATTTGGTGGTATATGTACCACTAAATTGGTACATTTTCGATATGAAATGATTTCAAATGCGTATAACAAAAAAAAAAACAAGAAATATCCTTCCCTACTACAATAATGCCTTGCCGTTTGCCAAAAATACACTTTTTTGTTTGTAAAATGATTTAATGTCATTCAGTATTCTTATTATTGATACGAGTGGATTTTCATTTTTTCTTGTTTATAAAAACTATTTTTTAAGTAAAACTGGTTTACTAAAAAATTATTTACTGTCACAACACATTCCTTATACAAAAAGTCCACAATATTGTTTATGGTAATATTATGTCAGCATCAGATGACAGTGAGGTTAAGCGTTGGAAAACAAATTGTTCTTTTGCGTTATTTAAGTCAATACCGACATACCATAAAACAGTGTAAATACTATCGTAGTAAAATTCTAGTGTCTTGGCGATACCGCCATGAAAGGCAATTCTGGTAACGCAGCTGAGCAAAATTTACTGCTGCAGTGTATGAGGGCCTTTAATAAGAAGGAGTGATGATAATATTAATTATTGTTATCGTTATTACGATGTACGATGAATGTAGTAAATAATTTTCGAATAATTGATCTATTGGAGCAATATTTTACTGTAAAGAAAAGTGACAACCAAATAAATATATTATAGTATATTTACTATAGACATTTGGTACACAGCTGGTTACTTAGTAATAAATTTTCACTTTGTTCGGAGTAAAGGGGTGGACTGGGAATAAATGGGAATGAAAATGGGCTCAGGGGGCACAATTTTGGGCTGATAATAAAATATTTATAAGTTATCTTGACAAATTTATTTAAACAACCCAAATTAGTGCCACGTCCAGGAAGAGATCGCTCACACTTTTAACCAGTCTACCACTGTCAGAGTTTAAGATGTATAAAATGTAAAACGTTAGTAGAAGGAGGGTACGTTCACCCCACCCCTAAAATTTTTTTCAACATAATATCTTTTAAATATTACAAAAATTAAAACTTAAAATTATTACAAAAAATTTAGGTAGATTTTTCAACATAATATCTGTTAAATATTACAAAATTTAAAACTTAAAATTATTACAAAAATTTAGGCATTACAAAAAATGTAAACTTATACTTTAAACATTACATAAAATACAAACAAAAGACAGTCAAGCAGCTTCAGCCATATATTTGCTTATTGTTATAGGAAAAAGTAATATACACAATAATTATTCCAATAGTTGTTGATTTACGAATTAGTTCTTATGACGTCATTTAGAATATTCTCGATCAAGAATAATGAGCATACCTGTGTTGTTAAAATAAAAATCTTTATTTTTACTATATTTAGATCTTAAATCACCAGTAGATGTGTTATTAGAATTATTCCATATATCCACAGGTATACTAACCACACTAATATCTATTTTATGTATTATATCATCTATAAAATAATCTATTTTCATATTATCATCTAAATAACATATACCTTTAATATATTGAAACAATGTTGAAACATTTAATATGTTATTATTTTTAAAACGTCTAGTAAAAGTTAAAATATTAGTATGGTAATATACTTTACATTCTTCAGGAACTAATTCAATAAAAACTTTACATTTTGTATCATCTGGTAAATTTATAATATTATTTTTTACTTCCATAAAAACGGATTTTTTATCAAAACCTAATAATCCTTTTTCTTCGTATAGTGCGTTAAATTTTTATTTGTAACTATAATCAAATCTTTAAGGATTGATTTTATCCATTTATCGATAAGTGTTTTTTCTTTAGTATCCACTCCCATATTAATAATAAATTTATTATTAGAAGTAAATATTTCTGATTTCACATAAAAAGATACACCGAGGCAATTATGGAAATATTCAGATACTAAATATTTAACCCTATTTCTCCCAATACTTGTTTTGCGTCTTATAAAATGTAAAGGTTTTGTGGATATTTCATTTTCATCAATTATAGTATTTGTAAATTGTAATTTAATATTTAGATCTGTTTTTTCAAAATTTGTTAATAGTTCAGATAATGAATTATTAAAGTATGCAATATCATAAGATATAATATCTTTTATAGAACTAAGTTCAAAATTAAAAATTAAAATAGTTTCTGGAAAAATATTAAATGAACCTAAAAGCATTTCTATAGGGATTAATATTTCACGGCTAGGAAAAATTACACAATCTTTATATGTTCCTTTTTTTTTCTATACACAAAGAATCATTTTTACCAGAACAATAATTTAAATATTTTTTATAATCTGGAGATGATACTAAACACATAATCATTTCTTCATTATCTATCCTTTGTAATAGTTTTTTTTTATCATTTGAATTATTTTTATAATATATTTCAAAATATTTTAATAAATGAAAAGGGTAATATTTTAAATATGAAACAGTACCTTTTCCTTTAATTTCTGGTAAATGCAATTTTAATTGTATTTTTTCAATATGTCTAATTCTTAAATCTGTAATAACTGTTTTATAAATATCACCTTTCTTTATAGGTATATAAGACATGGTTTTAGGATACAGTATATCCATTATAGGATTATTTGTTATATCATTTTCAACAACTAATTTTTCTTCTTCCATTTTTATATTTATTTATTTATATAAATAAATAAAAACAATGGAAAATAATACAATATGTAAAAAATGTAACAATATGTTATTTTCTTTAAAAGATAACTTGTTAATATGTGATTATTGTGGCCTTTTTATTTCAAACAAAAATAAATTAAATATTAATGAAAAAAATAAAAATAAAGCTATACATCTTAATAACGTTTTAAAAAACATGGAAACTATAAATGTAGAATTAATAGACGAATTATACAAACTTTTACAACAAGATATAATATATAAAAGGCAAATAAATCCTATTTTTATAGATTCTACTTATATATGCGAATTCTTAAAAAAACAAGGAAAAAAAAGTTACATTTTAGGTATATGGCTTTTAAATAAATACAAAAATAATAGTTTTTATTTATCCACCATTACTAAAGAATATATTAGAATAATTTTTAATGAATATATAAAATTTATATATTTAACAAATGATATAAAAATAGCATATCATATCATCAAATATTATATATTATATATAAATATTTAGGTGTAAATATTGAACTTGAACCATCTATAAAAAAAAACAATGGTGATGTTAATAAATCATTTGACAGATTTGTAAATAGTTTATGTGAAACATATTATAAGTCAAATAACAATGTATACAATAATTTATCTTGTTTACCTAAAATAAAAAAACATCCTAATGATATATACAATGATAACAATATGTTTATTTAATATGATATTTGGTATATGTTTATATATTTATTATCGTAAATATTAGTATTGTATATAGCATTTTGATCTGTATTTTTCTTTATCACATCTACTATTTTTTTGTCAAATAACATTGAAACGGGTGGTATATTATTAAAGTTTTTATATCTTAATAATATATGTCGCTCATTATTATATAAAAATGTTTTATAACAAAAAATAGAACATACTTGTCCAATTATATAATTTTTAGTTAAATATATATAAAAATTATTATTTATATTTTCTTTGCAATATAAACAATTATTGTCTAGTTCATTTGTAATTTCAATAGGAAGTATGTTTTTTTTATATGATAATTTATTATTTTTGTTTCTAAATTGTATATTATCCACATCTTCGTTTTTTATTTTAAAAATAATCAAATCTAATAAAAATACTTTAGTTGTATATATATAAAATTTTTTTATAAATTTTATTGTAAGTTTTATTTGTTTAAATTTATAATAAGGACATTCTGAAATAGGGATATTGTAATATATAATAACATCATCATAATCATTTTCCGTATTAATTATATTTTTTAAAACCAATTGTGATTTTTTTGTCAATAATTCAAAATTTATACAATTTACTTTTTTTAAAGAAGAGGAATATATAAAAGAAATATTTGAATAAAATATCTTTTTGCATATAATTGAACAAAAAAATAATAAATTGTTATTAATTTCTTGATAACAAAACCAACATTTTTTTGTATTAACGTTAATGGGTATTTTTTTATACTCTTTCACAATACATTGTTTTTGAGATTTTTTTTTTATTAGATCTTTAATAACTTTTTGTTTATCATTGAAAGAATATTTATCTTCCATTTATTTATAATTTTTTTTTATATAAATGGTTAAATTAAATTTTAATAATGATATTATTCCCGTGAATCTAAAATACACGAACGGTTCTCGTGTAAATCTTCATATTAATTATAAAAATGAAGAAGATGGTCATGATTGCTTTACACTATATTCTTTCCACAATCATCTGTGTTGGAAAAAATAATAGAATCTAATTCCAATTATAACAAAAAAAATATGTTAGCTTTTGAGGACAACTTTAATGACGAATATGAATATATTGGAGGTGTGTCTTTACCAAATTCAAAGAAAAAAAAACCTATTAAAGATAGGCAAGAAAATCCAAGAAACGCATTGGAAATTACAGAAATAGGTACTATTATATTAAACGATATAATAGATAAATACCCTTTTATTTATCAGGGTAATAATATGAATGATAATAAACTTATAGAGACCGTTTACCAACTTTTAAAAGAAAGATCGTTTATTTTAACAAATTTAGAATTTGATTTATTATTAAGGTATTTAAGAGAAAATATATTTACAGTATTAAAAAATAAAATTATACATAAACATCCATTATTTGATTGTATAAAAAATCATGACATTGGTACAAGATTTAAATTATTAAACGCTATAGGCAATAATTTTGATTATAAAAAAAAGGTAGCTATAACTAAAGCAATGTCTTCCACGTGGAATGGTTTGAATGATTTGTTTATTTATGAAGATAGAAGAATAGATTTTAAAAATGACCTTATACATTCTCTTTTTATGATTTTATACGCATGTAAATTACCAGGGTTTGAAGATGTAAGTATTTTACAAGATTATTCTATGATGGTGGATGAAATAAAAAATAATGATTTCAATAAAAATAATCTTATGCTTTTGTTTTTAAGAACAGCCGATACATCATTATTACCATCGAAAGATATTAATCATTTAACATATTCTGTTAATAATGAAATTTTACGTATTAATATATCTATGCTTTTAAGAGAACTTTCTTATTCTATTAGATCAGGATCATTTGAAAACAAGGCATCGGATATGTTGTTACTTTTATTAAAAGAAATAAAAATGCTGCGGCAAGGTCTGAAGAAGAAAATCTATTACATGCTATTTTAGCAACATTTTCATTTAAACCTACTTTAATATCAAAACCCAAAATTAATAATATATTGTCTTCTATGTAAGAAAACGCTTTTACAACAGAATACAATGTTCCTAGATCTACTTATACCATAGAATTTCCGGGTGTTACCCATTTGCGCCAAAAAAAATGAATTCGTTTTGGGTGCAGCCCATTTGCGCCAAAATAAAAAAGGTATGTTTTTCCGACAGCCCACTTGCGCCAAATTTACCTGGTATAATTATAATAAAGTAATATATTTTTTTCTCAAATAATAATAAATACAATTTTATTTAAATCATAGTTAATTATACGAATGTTTTTAAAATAATAATCAATAATAGCTGTATATACACATTTTTTTGAAACAATAATCAGAATTAATACAAACTGTTTTAAAAAACTATACATATACTTATTAATTACTAACTATTATAATTTATAACAAATAATATAAATAAAACATATTTTTTATTAATTATAATAAACTAATATATTTTTTTTTTCAATCAAATTATAGTCAATAATACGATTTTTTTAAAAATAATTATCAATAATACACTTTTTAAACAATATTAAATAATTATTATAGGTACACATTTTATTGAAAATTATAGGCTATAGGTAATAATAGTCAATCGAATTATAGTCAATAAAATATCAATATCTCTTCATTATATCTTTATAAAAATAACTTTGATATATGTTACAAACACGACGTCTTTAAAATATAAGAGCTAACCAAGTCGTTAATTTAAAATGTTTACGCAGGTAAAGTTGGCGCAAATGGGCTGTCAGAAAAACATACCTTTTTTATTTTGGCGCAAATGGGCTGCACCCAAAACGAATTCATTTTTTTTGGCGCAAATGGGCGATGCCCGAATTTCCAATAGTAGATTTTTATTCTTTAGCACAAAATGAAACACCTGTTTTTTCGGAACTTAATTTTAATTATATGGGATATGATCCTACATGCAGGAAAGTTATATTTACTTATAATAATAAAATTAATGATGTAGATGCCAATATGCCTGAATTGTTAACTAATTTTTATAATTATATAAACACACAAAAATTAGAAACAAAATATAATGATGTTATGTCCACGCTTATAACAAGATCAGGGCACATTGATAATTTATATAAAAATATAACACCGGTTAATATTTTATTAAGCAATGGTATATTTATACTTACTATACCTAGAGAGCAAAATAGATTTTATACTTGCCCAAGTCAAAATATATTCTTTAAACCTCCAGTAAAACCCACAATAAATATGTCACCGATTATGTTTCAAGAACACATCGTTGTTAATAGAATAAGTTATTATTTAGTTGCAGCATTGTGTTATGATGATATAGATTCTGATGCATTTAATCAATCAAACGTTTATTTTGTAGACGCAGACCATAAAATAGGCACATACGCGTTTATAAAAATATCTGACGGTAATTGGGTCGAATATAATACCAATGATGTGATATTGACCCATAGAACCAATAATCGTTTAGAAAGAGCTTTAATTAACTATCATGGAAGATTAAATACAGATGTAGAATTTAATACATGGAAAAATTCAAACGATGCCAAAAATATAAAAAAAGAGATTCTTAATAATAAAATTTCTTTATTAGATATGAAAATAGAAAATAATACAGCTTTAAATAAAATATCCATAGATTCGTGTTTATTGTTTTATAGTGAAAATTATGATGAATACAAAGCGCGTATAGAAGACAATCTATCAAATTATTATTAATGGAATAAACAATAATATAATAATAATAATAATAATAATAATTATAATTATTTTAAAATGATAATATAATAATTATTTTAAAATGATAATATAATAATAATTATAAATATTTTAAAATTTTAATAGAATTGTTATCATTATCAAATTCTATGTTTAAGATTTTATTAGATATTTTTACATTAAATGTAAATTTATTATTATTATTATTATTAACAATTATAGTTTGTTGATTTTTATTATTTTTAGGTAAAATAGGAAATTTTTCACTATTATATTATGTAAATTTTTTTTCTTTAATTGTTTTTTCTTCTATATGTTTTTTTATATAATAACTAGCAGACCCGGCGAACTCCGTTTCGCCACCAGATTCGTTTTATGTTTTTTTTCGTTTGGTGATTAAAATATAAAGAAAAAAAATTTTTTTTGTTATATATTTGAAAAGGAAAATATTTATTTCATTTCACAACAGTAATAAATTCATTTCAATTACCTACTAAAATGAAGTGTTATTTAATTGTTTCATTGTAGTGCTCTTTGGTAAACCACATTTTTTGTTTTTTGGTTTGACGTTAACACAAACAAAGCGGATGGTTTCCCAACTCGTGAACACGCAACGTATAACTGTCCATGTGAAAAACAATGATTTTCCAAATTTATCCCGCAAACACTAAGCGATTGGAATTGCGACTTATTAATTGTCATTGCGAACGCAAGGCGAACTGGGAATTGCAATCGTTTGAAGTCAAACGGAAGATCAGTCGGAATCATTGGTATTCGAGGAATACATACATTTTCACCTGCGTACTTTCCGTTAATAATGGTTGCCTCAATTAAATTCGGCATAAGTCTCTTTACCGAAAGTCGAGTACCGTTGCAAAGTCGCGGTGGATTCAAATTACGCAGTATCAAAATAACTGTACCAACTTTCAGTTGCAAGTTATGTGGTGGAAATCCTGGTATCTCCAGAGAGTTCAAAAACTCCGTTGGATAATTTACTACATCATCGGGATTTGTTATTGAATCAACGGATTTGTATGTCACCAAATCGCCAGCAATTTTTGATTGAATGGTGAAATTCAGTGCGTGGACATCATTATTCTTTGCTGCAAGAATTGCTCGTTGACTTAACCAAGCATAATTCTTATAATTCTCACTAATGTTTGGGAAAACATTTTCAATAAGAACTAATTGAGTGTCTACAAATCGGCAAAAGTCGTTGGTAAGAGTAATTAATCCAGATGTCGAATCAACTGGGACTTTTCCATTTCCAAGATCTAACAATTGTTTGGAAAATTGTGCAGCACTTTGATCATTTTGAAGTTGAACTCTCATATTAGTGGTTAGCGATAATGTTTTTACGTTATTCCATAAAGGTGATGCCTTTAAGCAAGCATTCAATTCATCTGCAGGCGTTCCACGGGGAACTACTGGCAACATCTGCCTGAAATCGCCTGCCAACAATATCATCAAGCCGCCAAAGATGTTGTTATTTCTCCGAAGATCCTTCAGTGTGAAGTTAAGTGCTTCAAGTGATTTCTTATGTGCCATTGTGCACTCATCCCAAACAATGAGCTTGCATTGCATTAACAATTTTCCCATTGCACTGGATCGGGAAATATTGCACGTTGGAGTATCAATTGTGTTTAAATTGAGTGGCAACTTAAGCGCAGAATGTGCAGTACGACCGCCATCTAGAAGAGTCGCCGCAATTCCAGATGATGCTAACGCCAAAGCTATGTCACATCTTGATCGAATAGTGGCCAAAATCAATGAAATGACAAATGTTTTCCCTGTTCCTCCAGGTGCATCCAGGAAGAATAGACCACCAGTATTATTGTCCACCGCTTGCATTAATGTTTTGTATACTTGTTTTTGCTGTTCATTCAGCAACGGAACATTATTTCTAACGAATTCCTGCAATGTATCAACATTGTATTGCAGCTCTCGATTTAATTCTTGGTTGAATGCATCGTGCATCGATCGATTTGGCGCAATCATTCCTACTTCAATCAGTAGCTTGTTTGCAATAGTCAAGCATTGATCCTCAATCAGAATCAATCCTTCATTGTAGATTTCATCGGTTATTTGGATGTCAGGATTATTCGTTTGAATACGCAAGCGATGCAAGATATCTTCACATATGGCGTCTTTGTATTTGTTCCATAACTGAATTGATTGTGAAGGAAAACATGTGGTGATGATAATTGCGAACAGCGTTCGTATTTGTTACGCATTTGATGAAACAACTGAATCTGCAAGTGTTAAATCCCAATGAGAATCGTTCTCCAGCAAACCCAATAGTTGACATGCTTCTCGATATGTTTGGCATTGGTGGCCATTCACAGTTTTCAAATGCGCAAATGATTTCGGTCCACGTACATTTACTAACAGCAGTCGCAAATAAAAACATTCATCGTTTCTAGGATGAACAGTGTACATACGACCTAGTGCATCAGTTGAAAACACCTGTGGCCAGTCTGGAACTGGGGTTCCTTGTTTGCGACGTTGGAATTTCTTTGTTGATTGATTCCAAGTGTAATACTTGGGCATTTCAACGTACATCAGCGTCGCTGCGAATGGATCTGATTCACACATTGCAAAGAAGCTAGTCAATGTTGTCGATGGTGGTCTCTCAGCTCGTTGTACCGCATTAGCCTCAGTGAAGTAAACTCTTTGGCCATTTTCCAAATG